ACATCTCCTAGTACACGCCTCATTTCATTTCAAATGATGAGAACTAGGATTCATCACGTACCAACTTAATTGTTCTATCGCATATGCGATATCTAGCATCATGTAAATCATGCATACATCGAGCCCTCAATTTAACATGGAATACTCCAGTTGTAAAACTGATTTTCAGTATTAACCATAAGTTCCATACTTGGATCCATTGGGGTCTTGAACTCACTACAATTCCTACTATGGAATTTATGCAAGTACCTTCTCGTGCAGAAAAAATTGAGAGAAGGACTCTTTCTTGTCGTTCCGCTTAATACAATACACAGAATCACATTTGCCTCCCCCATATCCTACATGGAGAATCGAAATAACAACTTTTTATTAAAGTTCACTTATCTTTTATTGGTTCCAAAGATAAGCATGTCTTATACATACAAATGTACGATGACTTCATTACCAGAATCATCATAAATTGTGTACACATTTTGTCTTCTTGGTTTAAAATAACATAAACCACTTGACAAAATAACTTATCTTTGATTGGTCCCAAAGATAAATATGTCATCTACATACAAACACAACGACTCTATTACCAGAATCATCAAACATTGTATATACAATTTTGTCTCCTTGGTTTAACTTAAACCACTTAGACAAAACCACACCATCAAACCACTAGACAAATCCATATTTGTCTAGCACTTCGTAAACATAGAATAGAGAATTAGACAAATTAACCATTGAGTATGTGACCTACCCAAAGGCAATTTTCATTCTTCTATTTCTCCATTTTACGAATCATTTTCCTTCTTCCTCATCTTCGAATCATCCCTCTTCCAAGTTACCTTCCGGATATGGAATACACCATGAGACAAGTACGAAGAAAACCCATCTTCTACTGCCATCGATGAAAAACCCATCATCAAACATTCTCATAATTCCATAGACCGGAACCGGTTTCTTGTAAAGAGCGGTTCGAGCCATCGTACCGGAAAATATTCTTTACGATTGTTGGGACTTTTAGGCACGAGGGTACACGTACGATAGCCCGAGACCGGGTGACTAGGATTATGATAGAGTCATGAACTACGTTCACTTTCCGTAAAGAATATTTCCACCCTCTACAAGCCTAGGGTTACAGGAAATTTCTTCGTAGGATAAAACTATCACCACTTTAGGTTCCAGGCTTAAGTACCTAAAGCATGCTTAGAAGTTTAGTAGGAAGAAGAATCTGTTTTGGTGTGTCTCACTTTTCATCCACCGAGTCCCTCTATTTATAGAGCATGAAGCTTTGTACCGCTTCATTCCAAGCAATGCATCCTTTGATTTAAAGGTTGCATTTATCCATGGCAACCATTCATGGAGGGACGCCTATTTTAAGGAATAAGAGGGAGGGATATATCCCTCTGTTCATTCATACTCCCACGTGAACAATTAGAGACCATTAATTGGAATTAAATGGAACGGTGGCTTGATTAATTCCAAATCAATCAATCACGTGGAGAAATAAGATTAAAGTTGGTTAATTCAAATTAAATGGAACGGTGGCTTGGTTCATTTATTCAACCGTTCCATATAATTTTCCAACATCTCCACGAATCCAACCTTTGGGAAACACCAACTTACTGCCTTGACCAAGTAGCCCAAAGTTTGACCTACATGCAGCATCACAAAATCCCCCCTCCAAAAAAATGTCATAGAGAATCCATGATATATATATATATATATGGTGGCTACTTCGGTACACTCACCTCTAAAAGTGATCATAATACATCAAATTTTGAAATTTAATGGGTAGCATTAGTCTCATATGATGATATAACACAGAATCCCAACTAATCAACCCATTACCCTAACTTATTAACATTCAATTTTGAATCTCCACCCAAAATCCCAAATTGTAAACCCTAACCCTAAATTCTAAACCCTAAATCATTCAAATTAAAGTGAATCTTGAATGATTTTTGTAAAAATTCATGTGGTTCTTGTTCATCATACCACAAGTGATGATTGACATCGTTTTCACATGAATCGCCTGCTCAGAATGACGATTATGAAGCGGGTGCATTGAATGCACCTAAAAAGTGAGTGCACCGAAGACATAACCATATATATATATATATATTGATAAGGGTATAAATTTTTTTTTTTGGTGAAGTACTATTTAACATATTTAAACTTGAGATCTCGAGCTTCAGCGTTAGTGTTATTACCACTTGACCAAGTTCTTGTTGGTAAAAATCTATGATATTACTGTCATAAACCAGTTGGTCCCAGAAGGTTATGTTGGATCTTAAACCACTCTCTAACACGCGGCTTGAGTTCAAGTCCTTAAGTCTCATTTCTTAAGGAAAATCTTAAAGCCTTCCTATTGGCTGATAGTGGATTAGGTAGTTAATGGTGTTAGTAGTTAATAGGTAGTTAAGGGTAAATAGGGTTATGCAAATATAATTAATTAATGATTCTTTTTCTCTCTCCTCTCATGATTTTCTCCATAACCCTCTCTCTACATTATAATTAAAAAGAAATATGTAATTAATTTTGTTTAATATTTAATAAAATCCGAATTTAATATTTTTTTTTCTAAAATGGAAATTTGAAATTTAAAATATATGCCTCTCTCACATCTTGGCAACTTCCGATTAGTATTAAGTATTAACATTTTGTAATGACATTATCAATATTTATAAATTGAATCATCATTAGGGCTTTTCATTGCATGGGTTTGAGATTTTTCGTTGTTAGGTATTCGTTTGTGTTATTATTGATGTTGTTCGACATGTTTTTTAATAATTTTATATGACATTATTAACTTTTTATGTTATGTTTTGTTTGTAACATTAGCAAAAGTGAAATTGTGTTTTCAATTTGTTGGTACTTGAAGTTTATTTACTATTACATCGTATTATCAATTTGGTTCGCAATGATTTATAATCATTTGAAGTGCTATTATCAAAAAAAATTTCCAAGCACAATACAATCATTAGCAAAAAATTTAATCATTTGTAAGATTGCTTATGTTTAGTGATTTGAATTATTAATATTTTTTCGTTTATGTTTGTAACTTTGTCAAATGTTATTATCAAAAAGCATACTTGTTAGATATTCGTTTGTTTATGACATTATCAAAAGTGAATTTACTTTTAATGATATAACTATGGTTATTAATCTTTCAGTCTACGTTAGTAACGTAGTTGGTGTCATTATTAATAGGCGTGTATAAGCATTATCAATGTTTGAAAATAAAATATTAATAATATCTAATAAGGTACTTACCAATCATTAATTAGTTGCTATCATTATCAAAGTTTTTGGATGCATTATCCATTAAACACATGTTACTTATTAATGCGTTTTTAGTACTATTTGACATTAAACATTGCATCTGAATATTATTAATATTTTTATATTACAAAATTTATTAAAAGTTTGATGTCATTTATAATGTTGAATTCGAACATTTTTACATTGATGAATTGTGTTTATTTTAACCGAAATACTTTTCATTATCAATGATTTATTGTATTGTTATTAAAAGTTTGGTGTTGAGGCGTGAATGTTGGTTTGCTTGAGCTAATATTTTTCTGGACAATGTTTGTTTGACTGAATCACACAGGTGCACTATGTCCCAAGTACCCAAGATGTTGAAAATCAGTATTGTGTTCTATGATCATTGAGAATGATAATGTAAAGCAATATTAATTGATCATAAAACGTTAATAATGTCATTAGAAATCATTGGAAGAGGCCATGACTAGATAGTTATAAACATGATGTGAAAATGTGAATCATTAGTACTAAAGATGTTGTAAATCAATGATATTGTTATTCAAACTATTAATAACTATGTTACATAACTTTAATGATTCATTCATAGGCGTTGATGACGAAACTATAAAACAGTAACAATTGATCCAAAATTGTTAGTAATGTAACTGTAAGGAATTGATAAGTATATTGAAGTCATTAATAATGATGATGTATAATAATAACGATTCATTTATAAATGTTGATAATGTCATTGCAAAATGTTAATACTGTATTGCAAGTTGCCACGAAGTGAGAGAGAACATATATTTTTAATTTTCAATTTTCATTTTAAAAAATAAAAAATATTAAGTTCGAATTTATTAAATATTAAATAATAATATTTGATTAAATTAATTTCGAATTTCCTTTTAATTGTAGTGGAGAGAGAGGGTTATGGAGAAGATAAGGGGGAGAGAGAAATAGAATTATTAATGAGTAATATTAATTATATTTTCATAATATCTTATTTATTCCAACTAACTATTAACTACTAACCCCTCATTAACTACCTAATCTAGTATCAGCCAATAAAAATGGTTTAAGAACCTCTTTAAACAATGAAGCTTAAGGACCGGATCCAACCCGCTAACACGCCCCCTCAAACGAAAGTCAACCCATGAGCTTGAAATTTGCATATGTCCACCATACCTTGTGCTTTAATCAACTGTTAATATTGGGGGTCGTGAGGACTTGAACACGTGACCTCAAGGACAAACCAGCTCTGATACGATGTCATAAACCAGTTGGTCTCAATAACTCAAATTGTTGAAAGAAGGTTATGCGGGATCTTAAACCACTCTAACAATTACAATACCGCGACTATTGAGGCGTGAAAGCAAAACAGAGAAACAGAGGGCAAAGTCGGGTGGAGTGTCGAATAAACACGGTTAATGCCCCCATAATGAACTCGTTGAAAGAGTTTTACCATCAAAAGATGCCTGATTAAAGCCCGATTAATTCATTGTTTCAAGTGTCCACTGAAAACAGAAATGAAGTAGCCAGTAGGCATAAACGAGACGTGTTGTTCTTGTGTATACCAAATAAAAACACAGAACTGAATTGCGTAATGCCAAACTCCAAAACAGAGAGAGACAGAGCAAACACTATATATATAAACTCCCTCTGCAGTCACCTTCTCATTGCTCACCCTTTAGTTGCATTGCATTCCTATGCATTACAGCAAAAGGAGCCACAACGCTGAAACAAGAAAACTAAAGAGTCAATCTAATCTATCTCCATTTGATTGGATTCGATGAAAATGCCTGGTTGGTGGTCGTCCAAGTCGTTCGACCAAGCAAAGCCGTATCTTGGAGTGATCTTCATGCAGTTCTGCTCGGCTGGGAGCTCCATCATCTCAAAGTTTGCTCTCAACCAAGGCATGAGCCAGAATGTGTTTGTTGTCTACAGATACGCCATCGCCACTGCTGCGATTGCTCCCTTCGCGTTTTTCGTCGACAGGTTTCTCTCTTCCCCCTTCCTTTCCTTCTATGTTGTAATCGAATCGAACGTTTAAAGTTGCAAACTTTCTGTTGTGGAATGAATGCAAGAAGCTGAAATTTGCAGGAAGGTGAGGCCAAAGATGACACTAGGGATCTTCTTCAAGATAGCACTCCTTGCTTTCCTAGAGTAAGATCAAAGGAAAAGAAATTAAACCCACTCCTTCCCTCCATCCAAATTTTACTCGAATCTCTTGTGTTGACGCCAGAATCTGAACCTGACAGGCCAGTGGTTGATCAGAACTTGTACTACACTGCAATGAAGTACACCACAGCGACATTCGCATCTTCGATGATCAGTATCATGCCTGCCTTTGCATTCCTCATGGCTTGGGCATTGGGGTAAACCAAATTTTCATTACATCATCGCCATTGCTAGGTATCATTAATCAGGGAATTCAGTAATGGATGTTTTTGTCATTTTTTTTTTCAGGCTGGAGAGAGTTAACTTGAGGAAGTTTCACAGCCACGCGAAGATAATGGGCACCATAGTGACAGTTGGTGGAGCCATGGTGATGGCTTCCATTAAAGGGGCTAGGGTTGATCTACCATGGACCAAAGGAGTTCTTGACCATTCTTCTTCTTCTTCGGTTGCGCCAGAGCACCCTATTAAGGGTGCTCTCATGATCGCAATTGGCTGCGTTTGCTGGGCTGGTTTTGTCAATCTCCAAGTACTTATCTTTTCATCAACTCAACTCCATAGTACAAGCTTAATTAGTTCCTCAATGCTTTGTTAATTTCTAAACTGGTTGTGTAGGCAATCACATTGAAATCGTACCCCGGAAAGCTGTCCCTGACGGCTCTAATATGCATGATGGGAGCAATGGAGGGATCGGTTGTGGCAGTTGGTCTGGAGTGGAAGAATCCCTCGGCATGGAAAATTGGTTTCGACACCAAGTTACTAGCTGCATTTTATAGTGTAAGGCCACCAAAGTTGAACAAATTTCTTCCAACCTTCAAAACCATTGTTTTTTTTTTTTTTTTGTGCTCTTCTTTTCTGTAAATAACTCAGTGAATATGATTTGCAGGGGATTATGTCGTCAGGAGTACTGTACTCGATTCAAGGACTGGTGATGCAGAGAAAGGGACCGGTTTTCGTGACGGCTTTCAGCCCTTTGGTCATGGTGATCGTGGCCATCTTGGGTTCCCTTTTCTTGTCTGAGATTCTCTACTTGGGGAGGTAAGTAAGCAAAACAAGCTTTTCTGCGATTTTGCAGTAATGGGTTTTGATTATTTTCTGCAACAGAGTTCATGAAGGTGATAAAGTTTTGATCTTTTTGGTTGGGTGTGTGGGGAACAGGGTATTGGGAGCAGTGGTGATAGTGACAGGATTGTACATGGTGCTGTGGGGAAAGACTGGAGATGACGAGAAAGGCAGCAATGGTGGCAGTATTACAATTAACGACAAATTAGTGGCTGCTGATCATCTCCCCATTGCTGCTGTTGATTCATCAGTGGAAGACACGAATGTAGAGAAGATAGAAAGCAAGCAAAAACATATCAATGGTGGTAATAGTGGGGAAGGGTTTGTTTCCATTGAGCTACCCAAGGTCTGATTTAGAGAAAGGACTGAAAGAAAAAACAGAGGAAGGAAGACAGGGGAGAAGGAGTCCTCTGTTTTGTACTCTGCCTGGGATGGTGGGAGTGAAGTCCCATATTCTCTGCCCCTTTCTCGATTCAGGGGAGCAGTAGGGCTGTTAATGAGTTGAGCTATTTGTGAGCCGCTCGGTGTACAACTCAATAAAAGCTCATTCGGTTAAGCCTTGTTCAGCTCGTGAGACTCATGAACTAGCCCGATTAGGTGGTTTGTTGAGTTCAACTCTTGCATTGTCTCGTTTTGAGCGCATGAGATGTCTCAACATTTTAGGGGCGGACGCACGGAGGTTTACTTAAATTTTGGGAAAACGATTGTTCAACCCACGGTATTAATTTACGTATGGATAAAAAATTTATAATTGGCAATGAGGGATACTCCTGAAAATTGAAAAAAAAATGATTATTCTAATGTCATTTTTTAAATTTGTGTATGGGAATGTAAGTGATAGGTTGGATAATTCAAATCTAGAGCACTATTATTATTGATAAACTTAATTTCCAGTAAACTACAACTCATTTGTTGTTTGATTTTGAACACTGTATCATAGTAATATGTCATTCCCTATTTCTAATTATTTTCAAAACATAGAAATTAAACTAATTTGAACCTACCTTAATTTGTATTGATTTTATGGTTGTACGACAAGTGTTGAAAGATTCTTTCAGCTTTGGATTACATCAAGAACAAGTTTACAAATCGAATATGCGACAGCGATAAGTTCGTGAATGATTGTCTAGTAGAGTATATAGAGACAATATTTTTAACACTGTAAACACCAAGTGTATTCTACAATTATTTCATAATATGAGAACACATAATCGATTTTTAACCTGTACGAGTAAGGTATTTTCTAATTTACAATTTTATTTTTATTAATTATTTTATTTTATTTTATTTTTACAAAATTTATTTTTTAAAAGAGGACACCCCTATGAAAAATTCCTTGGTCCGCCACTGAGCTCGGCTACAACTTATAAGAAAATCGATCTATATCTTATGAGTTGATTTGTTAATGATGCATAGATTTATTAAATTGTATATCTCACATCATATGATGTTTAATACTTTGAGCATGTGAGTAAATATGTTTCATATATGACATAAGATAAGTTAATCACATATATGACATATAAAAATTAAGGTATTTAATATTATAAATTATCTTAGAGTTGAGCTCAAGCCGAACTTTTAATCTTAATGATGAACCAAAATTTAATAAATGAACTGACTCGTGTTCGACTCGACTGAACTCGGTCATAAATGATCTAAGCTCGTGTTCGACTCGACTGAACTCGATCATAATGATCTAAGCTCGTGTTCGATTCATTTATAAACAAAACAAATATAAACAAAACAAAATTCGGTTCGACTCGACTTGCCTCATAAACAACCCGAACTCTATGTAGCCTTTGTCCAATTGTCCCAATGTCCCCATAGAAGGACAGGGCAAAAATCTCAAGCTTTTGGTTTCAGCCGTGACATTTTGGTGGGTTGATCCCTCTAAACACAACCATCCTCTGTTTTTTTTTTTGTCCCCTCTTTGTACTTCTTGGCCAAATTGTTTATTCCTTCTCCCTTCTGATGAAGAGAAGAGGATAGGCGAGGAATTTTACAATGCTATATAGCATTGATGCTATGAGTTTTTGTCTTTATGGTACAACTTAAAGTTGTACCTTTAACGTTATGGTACAACTTCATATTGTACCTATACTATTTTGTAAAAATTCTTTTATGGTACAACTTGAACTTGTACCTTATGTGATGATACAACTTTAAGTTGTAAAGTTGTACCATAACATAAGAGTACAACTTTCTTTATGGTACAACATGAAATTATATATTTAACGTTATAGTACAACTTTAAGTTGTACATTAAAGCACCAATACTTTATAGCATAGTAGAAGTGCTCGATGAAAGGCATGGTATTGCAAATATATTCTCGCCTATGAATCTTGTACTCGCACTTGAGATGAATTCACTTCGTATTTGGTAGATTGCTAGTTGCTATCTTCATGTTATGTTATGTTGCAAACGTGATATCTTCTAGTGTTGAATATAAAGCAATATAGGTTAGTGGAAGGTTTACATCCAATTCTTTTATGCTTTTCCCGATTTGGTGATCTAACTTTGTTATGTGATGATGATTCATCACACATAACCATCGGCTCATCAAAGACAAATTGCTTAGTCCAAATGGAAGTCCAAATGAATTGGCAAGTCCAAATAGAAATGTGTAAAGGCTTGTTTTAAAAATAGAAACTAGTTAGTTGGAGTAAAACGAGTCACACATGACAAATAACGAGTATTATACCGTTGTTTAACTCTTGAAAATTGTTTATTCGCAACCATGAGATTATACAAGGCAATCGGTCGACCATGAGAAGGAGAAGACTAGAATCTAAAAGAAGGTGAAAAGTTAAGACTAGTATTAAGTAACAATACCCAAATAAACTGTGACAAAAATTGTCAATAAGGTTAACTTTTATTGTAGATTAGTCTATTATTAACCATCTAGCAAAAAGTTATATCAAAATCTTATAATTTATTAATATTTCCAAAGAGATTGCTGATCGATATTGAGTAAAGTAATTTTCACACAAAAATATTTGGGGTAAAAATTGCAAGTTTGGTCACTGGGATTGTTAAAAACGTTCATATTTAGTCACTATAAATATTGAATTTTGTTTGTGGTCACTAAATTAATTAAAAGGTTCAAATTTAGTCACTCTCCGTTAACTTCTGTTAGTCTCTGTTAACTTCCGTTAGTCTCCGTTAATAGCGTCTGTTTTTTTGTTGACGTGGCTAACATAATCCCCCTAATCAGCTTAAATCAACCCGTCATGTTATCAGTACTTGCCACGTCATTACAACAACAAAGCAACAAAATACAATTAAATTGAAAGAAAACCAAAAAACAAAATAGTGTTTCTAGATCCCTTCCTTCCGCCGTTGTCCTCAATCGTCATCTTCATCCCATTGTTTCTTCTTTCCTCCGGCGCAGGCGATCAAAGGGGGAGGTTTGGATCCAGCTAAACCAATCTTCAAGAGCGCATAGAGGATGCAAACCCTGCCAGTCGAGAGAACAGCGATGCAATTGCTTTAGAGGCGCAATTGCTTTCAGGAACTGATAAAAAACGTAAAATCGTCAATCAGCAAACACTCCCTGGGAGATTACCTTGAAACATTGTCATTCTCTGATTCTATGAACACCTTGCAATTTTGGGCCCCACCACATGATAAATAGCTCTGGTTCCGTGATGGATTCTGTTAGCCACGTCAGCAAAAATTGACGCCGTTAACGGAGACTAACGGAAGTTAACAGAGAGTGACTAAACTTGAACCATTTAATTAATTTTAGTGACCATGAATATAATTAAATATTTCTAATGACTAAATATGAACGTTTTTAACAATCCTAATGACCAACCTTACAATTTACCCAAAATATTTGTCTCATGGAATGATACTATGCTCACTACGCATTTGAGGCCCGCTTTATTACAGACGTTCATTTATGAAGGCTCGATCGATGAAAGCCCACATTGGGAGAAGGCAGGCTGGTAAGAGCAGGCCCATACTAGGCGCCCAAAGGATCACATTCACAAGGCAACCCCTCTCGGAGATATTTTTTGGTGTGCGGGACAAAATGGCTGATAGAATTTTCATAAAAAAGAAAACACCTAATAGGATTAACGGCTTAAATGGGTAGTATTTGAATCTTTTTGTGTCATACCTACTTTTACAATCTAAATTTATGTTTTGGAGGAATAGAGGAGAGAGCCGAGTTGCTGATTTTGAACAGATCTAGCTTTAAAGAGGGTTCATTGCCTGTGAGATATGTGGGTGTCCCACTTCAATCTGGTTCATTGACTAGTGCAGATTGAAGTCTACTCATTGACAAGTTGACTAGTATCTCACCCTACTAAGCTAACCTACGCAGGAAAGCTGTTGTTAATCGCAAGTTTTTAAGTTTTAAAGCGCAGTTTTTAACTACGTAAGTTATAAAAATTAAGATTTTGTGTAGAAGCGTTTAAGTGTCCTAGAAACGTAAAATCGCAAGTTTTTAAGTTTTAAAGCGCGATTTTGACTACATTGGGGTGAGATATATTGGGGGGCTAATAAGCTAACCTACGCAGGAAAGCTGTTGTTAATCTCTTCAGTTCTCTACTCTATCACTGATCAATACCGGATGACAATTATCGTTTTGCGCCAAAACAAGTTCTTGCTAGTATTCAGAAGATCTGTTCTGACTTCCTGTGGTATGGTGAGGGGACTGGTAAAGCAAAAGTCAGTTGGATTGCAATTTGCTTGCGTAAGAAGGAAGGTGGATTAGGAGTTTAGGACTAAGGGATTTGAAAACATGGAATATAGCCTGTGTTGGTAGAATAGAATGCTAGGGATGCTTTTCATGTGTGGAGGCTTGTTCTGGGTTGCTTGGATTGAGAAGCACAGGCCGAGAGGGAGGTCACAAAGGATGATTCCGGAAACACAAACAGGTTCTTGGCTATGGAGGAAGCTCAAGCATGAAGTTAACTTCCATTGTGCGGAAATACTGAGTTCTTCCATGTATTGAGTAATTATCCAGTATACTTTTATGCTTTGTATAATGTTAGCAATGAGCTTAGTGGTTAAGAGTTAGAGTGTTAAGAGTGTAGTTAGCAAGAAGTGTTCTTTGGGTTCTGTTGTATGGTTGGAGTAATTGCAAATTGCAGTTGTTTTCGAGATGCTTGTTTTATCAAGTTGTGCTAATAAAGAGATAACAATTATTGGAAAAAATAATTATGCTAAAAAGGAAGATTATGCTCAATATTCATTTTTAAAAAAATGGTAATGTTTTATTTTTCATCCAAATATTTTTCAGATTCTTTTATATTATCCAAACCTATTAAAATGCTATTAATTAGCCAAATCTTTCGTAATGCATCAAAATATTAGCCATTATTACGGTATCGTTAATA